TAGTCAAGGTCGTGGAGACAGCAACATCCACAGTCAAGGTCGTGGAGACAGCAACATCAACAGTCAAGGTCGTGGAGACACCAACATCCCAACTCTTTATGAGTAAACAAGTATTAGCAGCCCTAATCACTCTCCACAGTCAAGGTCGTGGAGAACACCGACACCACGGATTTCTCCCGCGATGCCCTTACATTGAAAGCTTCTTTTTATCTTGATTACTTCTCAAAAATTCTATATCTATTATTCGTAGATATAGTTTTAGAATAAGGATTATTATCCTTGGATTTCAAAACACAATTTCACCTTGTAGTTCAAAATATATATCTTGATCCCTAACAACTTCCAAAATCTCATTTTGTACATAGGCATACATTTTAAAAATAAGACTTAATTGATCCCTTTAAACTTTAAACTCAAAATTTCCCAACATGATCAAAATATAGAATACTTCATAAATAGCTCAAATCTCATATCTCAATCCAATAACAATTCATAAGTAAATTCAAATGCTCAAAATATCACCCAATACAAAATACTCAAATCTCAAATATATATAATTCACAATCACAATTGATACGTAAAATCTCATTAACTATCAAATACTCAAATGATCTAAAATAACTAGTCACAAATAAATATATATGAGAAAAGCATGAAATTTGGTTGACATAGTACTTACCTCGGGATAAATCCTAATTGAAGCTACTAGCTTGATCTTCTCGAAATTCACTTTCTAGAATATTAAAATTCTAAATTAGCGTTACATTCTATTTTTGCTATTTTATCCCATTTCCCACTTTGTTAAACAATTGAGTAACATTATTATAACTAAATTGGCTTAATTATCATGGTCATGATCCTTACTGTTATAACTAAATTTTATTATTTTGATATATTCTATTATTTTGATATATTCGGCCAGCCAGAATTATCACTAATTCAGTCTATGGACCCAGACTAGAATAATAACAGCCCATATTCTTTTTTTATGATATTAGTTAATTAATTGTAAGGCGCAATGTTTAATGTATGCCTAGCCTATGAAAATATGTCCGTGTAAAACCAAAGAGCGACGGAAGAAAGACGAAGAAAACATACAGTTCCTTGATCAGCACCGGCGAGGTAGGGCCATGCGACAGTTGCAGCGACGAGGTCTTCATCTGACGACAGGAAACAGAGAAAATGACGGTGGCTGGTGGTGACAGTAGTTTGGGCTTCTTCTTTGTTAACCGGCGTGAACCAGTCCGGCGCTACCAGCCTACCACAGTACCACCAGGTTTCTTCTCCGGCTTTTAGTGGCGTTCAGCTGCAGCTTCCTAGGCTCCCTTAGACCTTCGTTCCTATGGGGGTTTAGTGCCGCAGCATCGACCCACAGTTCCGTAGTAACTCCGGCGGCGAGGATAAGGCGCTCTGGCGATGTTGAGTACCAGTTCTTTCGACGGTGATCCCCTTACTGTCACTCTCCTTAACTAACGACTCAGATATAAATGTGTGGGTATGGGAAGTCCTCTGGTTCTCTACTTCTCTGGTTATATGATATGGTTTCACAGGGAATTGAAGTTTATATATACACATATACGAAGTATGTAACTATGTAGTTGTATATGCTACGTATATGAATACGCAGGTCGCTGGTTTACTCATGGTGCAGAACACGTAGCTGGCTTACTCATGGTGCAGAACACGTAGCTGGTTTACACATTTTTGGCCTCTTCCAATTACTGGTGGGTCTAGCATGTGCAATTGTTGGTTATTCATTTCGATGAGGCGTGTGAACATGTATAGTCCGCAAGGTTCATTGTACTAGTATTATGCTACCCACATTATTACTGCTGACTACTTGTCTTATAGTAAGTACATATGTGTATATTATTATTTTGGCTAAAGGGTCACATAGGTACATGAACTAACTTAAAGTGTTCAATTAGCCCCTTATATAGGAGGTTCTGCCCGGCCTTTGCCAATTGGGGCGGTTCCCGGTGGAATTTTTTGATGAAATTTTTTGAGCATCCTTTACATTAAGTCTAGTTTACCCATACAAAATGTCAGCTAAAAATTCAATCGGGAAAGTAGTCAAATGATTTTTTGAAGATAACTGCGCATTTAAACAACACAATACATTTCGGAAAATCATTTGAATACCTTCCCGGTTGAATTTTTAGCTGAAATTTGGTATGGGTAAACTAGACTTAATGAAGAAGATGCTCAAAGAAATTCATCAAAAAATTCAACCGGGAACCTCTCCAATTGACGATGGCCGGGCTAAACCTCCTATATAAGGGGCTAATTGAACATTTTAAGTTAGTTCATGTACCTATTTGACCCTTTAGCCTATTATTTTTATTTTTATGGGTATATGCTACTTCAATTCGTATGACTCGTATCATGTGTGCTACTTCTTTTAACTTTGTTATTCTTGTACTTCCTCCGTTCTTTTTTAATTGCAACAGTCAACTTTTCACGCTTGCCAACACATAAGTTTGACCGTTAATATCTTTCATTCCTTATTAGTAAAAAAATTTAAAAAAATCAGATTTTGAAAATTTATTATGAGAGGAATTTGAAAATAATTTTTAAAAAATTTAACTCATAATAAATTAATAAATAAAATGTAGTCAAAGTAGAATCTGTGAATAGTGAAAAAAGTCCTACGTTGCAACTAAAAGAGAACGGAGGTAGTATGATATTTTAGTGTATTTTCGTGAACATATTACTGACTGATTCAAATTGTTAAAATATCACTTTTACTATTGAAACATTTTTATTTGATTAAAAATGTCACTGACGTTAAAATTTTATCTGATTCATTTAATTATTAAAATGTCACTTTCGTAACATTTTTTCCGGCTAATAAAATTATTTATTTTATTTCAATTTTTCAGAGTGTCACACATTTACCCAACAAAAAAGGGTCATAGCCAACAATTAACAATAGTAAACCTAGTCAAATATATAGTTCACATGATCATGCAATCTTTAGAAAAAGTTCAAGTAGACAAGTGGTGAATTTGTATACATTGGTCCTTCACAATCACTCCAACCAGGATCACATACTCAAATGACACAAGTAATAAGGAATATCGATAGACAAATATAGATGATCCAATGAGGAAAACATCAGTAAAAAGAGCCATTTCATAAGGTAGGGGGATTTGGAGGGATGCAATCTGGTGACAGAAGAATAGATCATCTACCGTTGTTAACCACAAAAGATACAATACACTGAAAATCTACACGACACATGAAAAAAATGCAAATTCACACTAACTAATTCACAATAAAAATGCAAATCGAAATTAGGGATAATAACTTTAACATAGAGTTCCATCATAATTGGTGCAAAGTGAAGAGATTAGAGATGATACACCTACCTCAGATTGAGTCGCTGCCATGAAATTTAGGACTTTGGTTTGTCTAGCCCTGGTTTCCTGGTCTATCGCTGGTTACGCTTCCCAGACCCAGCTTAAACTGTTCGTTTCTGGCTGCCTTTGCCTCTTAGACACGGCTTGAACGGGCGGTTCGTTTCTCCCCTGCCTTCTCCGACGCGGCTAGAATATCTCTCCGCCTTCACCGACGCAGCTTGACCGTATCTCCATGCCTTCGCCGGCACGCCTATCTCTCGCTAGTCTCTAGTCTCTACCTCCTTTCCTTTCCGATTACACAAACGATAAAACTGGGGCTGAGGAAGGACCTACTTGCAATAAAGGCATTTTTTTAATAAAAACGTGACCTGGACTGACTTACCAATAAAATAACGCCAACTGTTGAATGCACCGATACATCCCACTTGGATGCACCATAAAATTTAGGGGTGTGCGCAGTCCGTAACGGTTCGGTAATTTAGCAAAACCGGTAATGTACCCGTAAGGTTTCTCACGGTACGGTGCGGTACGGTTCTAAGGATGGAACCATTCGTTACCATGTTATTTCGGAACGGTACAAAACGGTTCGTACAATGCTAAACACATGCTGAAACATTCAGACAAATCTTGCAATTAGTAGATATCATCACGCCTGCATATTCACATGAAATGTTGATAAAAATACAAGAAAGTGCATACTAAATGCTAGAAAACATTCAAGAGGTTGACATTTTTGTATTTAAATTCACAAATACTCAAATAGTGCAACACATTTAAATAAAAATATAGCAAAATGATGATACACTAGATAAATATATCTTTATTAAATTCATGTGGAAAAATATAAAGAATATCGTAAATTTGTTGAATATAATAGAAAGGTTTAGCATTCTTCTTTGTTGGAAGTTGAATATTAGTTCTAATTTAATTCATAGTTGAGCCATAAGAGCTAGAATTTAAATCATTTTAATTAAGTTGTAAAACTACACAAATATGATACAATAGAAAAGTCATATACACTACATTACTAGAAATTATCAATCATTAATTATTTTTAAAACTTTAGTATTCATTCATTATATACCAAATATATATATATATATATAACACAAATTATCTAAAAGGAAAAAATAACAATATTTATATAACACACGCATTAAGCTATTTTAGGGATGCATGAATACATACTTAGGCTATAAAATTGTTTGTCAATAAAAGGTACGGATTATTATATACGGAGTATATTGGTATGGAAAAATATAAAAATGTCAAAGACATTATTTTTGAACGGTTCGGTCTGGTATTTTTCGGTTCTTAAAATCTAGGAGCGGTCCTGTACCCGTTTGAAACAGTACGGTTTCGGTTCGGGATAAAATTCAATGGAACCGTTTAGATACGCGATATTCGGTTCGGTACCATTACGGGCCGGTTCAGTATCGGTTCGACTCGGTTTTTATGCCCACCCTAGTAAAATTTTCCAATCTAAAATGTGGAAATCCTAATAAATCTGATTAAAAATAGTAATATGGGCGAAACAATTTATTTGACCGGGAAGAGCGTGGGCCGTTCCGTTTCATGGGAAGAGCTTTAACCCTAACACTGCACGCTTTATATCAGATATATCAATAGTAGGAGGAGGTATATATGGTATCTGTCAATAGTAGTTAGGATATTAAAATTAAATTTTGGTAAGAGATCGATGGGAGGAATTGGGGCAGCTTTATTGGGGGGTTGCCTGCTGCCTTCGACGGCAGCAATGGGTGGTGTGCGTAGACAAGCACCACCGCCACGTATGGTTCGGCAGCCGTTAAAAGCTGCGGCAGCAAAAGGAAAGTCGATTCGCCGTGTCTCTCCACCGAAAGAGGAGGGGATGTGCCCATTCGATATGGTGGATCACGTCGTGAAGGAATTGTTCCCCCCGGTGCACTTTCTCATCGTGGGGGTCGCTTTGGTCGACCAGGATGCGCTGATTTATGGGAAGCTCGATCCCGACGACGATGGGAAGATTAGCAACGTAAACAGTGAGTACATACTATACGTTCGTAAGCACATAATTTCACCAAAAAACAGTTTTAGTCGATCAACGTCCTACTAGCACTGCTTCATATTTCTCTTTTTCACATGTAGCCATATATATATACTGAGGGGCGGATCTATTAGTAAATATTAAAATGTGTTTTTTAAGCAGAAGTTGTTGCAAATACTCCCTTAATTAGAGCTCGCTTGGTAGCACAAAAATTTGACTGATTCTGCTTAAATTTATTAAGTTTTGGCTGCATTGGTTGATTCTTCTAATTTAAGAAAAAAAATTTAAAATATATGTTATTAATAAAATAAAGATAATTTACGTGTTTGGTGAAAAAGTTGGCTGATAAGCCTGATAAGTCGAAAACAATGTTGCCAAACGGCCTCGCCAAATGGCCTCTTAATCAATTGTAGTAATATGTCATATATATGTGTGTTTGTGCGCAGATTGCATGGAGGCATTATTGGAGAATGAAGACCGTTGGATTCGCACTCGCTCCTCGGTGACTTACAAAACATTATATTTTGCTTGTGTTGAATTCCCTTCGTAACATAAAAATGTTCCCATTTCAAAAGTAGTTAGATTAAGAATAGTTAAAGAGACTATAAATTATTGAATGTATGATAGAAAAATAGTAAAAGAATAGTGAAAGAGCATATAAATTATTGAGGGTGTGATAGGAAGATAGTGGAATTGTGTGATGGAATGAAAGATAAATCCCAAAAAAGTAGTTGTAATAGTGATTTTTTTTCAAAATTGTTAAAAGTATGATGAGAAGATTTAGAAATTGGGAATATTTTTTTTCTTACGAACAAAAAAAGAAAGTGGGAAGATTTTTTCGTTACCAAGGGAGTATACACTATTCCCACATTTTGTTATGAAATCATGCATGCATGTAGTACTACTTCAGCCGGTTACTTTTGTAAGAGAAATCAATCAACTAAGGAATAAGAATGATAGATGGATAGTGAAAACCCATTTAAAATAAACATACTCGTATCTCATAACAAGAACTTTTAGTTTTTACCTTTCATTTGTTGTAATCATGGGTATTCACTATAAGTTGTGGTTGTTTGCATTTTAAAATAATGGAGATTGGTTATATTTGGCATTGGTTAAAAAAATGAATAATGAAGACTAGAAGTTCTCATTTTAAAATGAGCTTTCATGATTGGGATGGAATTTTATCAAAATGGAACCTGAAAGATAAGTTCATTATTAACAATAAGAGACCTGAAAGATAAAGTCTATCGATATAGAGCTCGAATGATTAAAATTTATCAAAAGATCGTGAAAATTAGGGACTGGAACAAAATCCATTATATTCAATTTGAGTCGGGTTCTTGGTTGCCCGGACTCAGTTTGGATTTTGGTTATATCTCGAACGTGAAATCATCTCATTATCATTTTATATTTTAAAATCTATTTTCAAATAAAATCAATCAAAAATACAAACCGCAAATAACAACACAAATAATAGTCTTCAAAATCACCAACAAGTCAAATCCAACTATATATATTTGTTTAACATGCATATAAATAAATAATATAGGTTTTCTAAAAATATCACGAAATGAAACTTATCGATAAAAATGTGACCGAAATTACTATAAATATATTTTAATGGTCGATTACGATAAGCAAATTGAACATGTTTGTAGTCACTAAAACTTATTAGGTCATTTTTTCATCGACCATAATTATAATCATATTAGGAATTATTTATAAATTATATTCATATATTATATTGATTTTATATTAAAGCTAATTGTTTCGGATTTTCATCGGTGTGGGCTAAGTTATAGATTTTAGAGGCCGTATATGAGCCCAAATTTTGTAGTCAGGTCCGGGGTTTTTATATCCGGGCCGGTTAAAAGGAAAAAAATGGATTGAGAACATCATTTGGATTGGGCTAGGGTCGGTTTCCGGGTTTGGTTCGGTTTTTCCCACCCCTACTCTTCCATATTAATTTTAACTAACTAACATGCATGCATTGAGCGGCATGTTTCTCATGTCTTTTTACTATCTTCCTGCTAGGAAATCCCACCCTCAGGATTTGGAAAAGCATGTAAAAGGTTTTTTGACTTCGAAGATGGTCCTTTTAAGGTAGCTACAAAGAAAAAGTCCAAAAACTTTGTCAGATGTACTGAGGTATATATATATTGTCCCTCTTCTTTCTCTTTTTTAATCCGAGTAATGATCCAAATTCCAAACTCCTGAAGGGGGTTTGGGGTGGGAGGACTAAACCCCTTCATAAGGATAGCGAATTGCATGAAACTTAGAGCATCTCCAATGATAAAATGTGCACGGTACACACGTGGCATGAGAAATAGCGACATAAATATTAGTAAATAAATTCTTTCTCTCCTTATTTGAATGATTTTATACAGTTTTAGTAAGTTTTTCTCCACACTGTCAAGGAGACCGTCTAGATGTTGAAATGTTGTTGACATTGCAGGGAAAAACTTGCCAAAATTGTATAAAAGCATTCAAATAAGGAGAGAAATAATTTATTTGCTAATATTTATGTGGCTATCACTCATGCCACATATGCAACGTGGACAATGAACATTGTAGCATTGGAGATGCTCTTAAGTACGCCAACAAAATGATTAAAATGATGATTATTGATTTTAAACAAAGTATTTTGATGGGCTAAGTACTTAGTATTCATAGGGTCTTATTTGGTAACGTATTCTACGTTAATGCCTAGAATGATTGATAGGGTAGCACCGTAGCACACTGCCCTAACCGTATTTACATACGGAGTATTATAAAAAATTATGGGGTAAAGTCAGATATAAAAACAGAGTGATGGGCACCAAGGTTATTAAAATCGTATTTTTGAATCGAATCGGTAGATGTTTTTAAAAATCGAATCGTAAAATCGAATCGCAAATGGTAAGATTTTACCAAACATATTTTAATAATTATAAAATAAATAAATATTAAAATTAAGTTGCAAGTTAATGATATTATATCATTTCATTACATAAAACTATATCTAAAATGTTATAAGCAAGATTTATAAACTGTTTATATAATGTAAATATATTGAATAATAACATTAAACATATGTAAAACATAAAAATAATTAGGTAACACAAGAATCCATTACTTTTATAAATAAACTATTCATATTATTATTATTGGAATTACGTATCAATTTGTAGTTGTTAATTTTAATAAATTTGAGCCATTTTCACCAAAAACAGCTTATTACGATTTTGCTACGATTTTGCTACGATTTTATACGATTCTACACGATTTTAGAACGATTTTTTTACGATTTTGTACGATTTTATGATTTTACGATTTTACCTGCGATTTGAATCGCTTTATTAATGTAGAATCGTAAAATCGTACGATTTTACGATTTAAATCGAGATTTTAACAACCTTGATGGGCACTGCGTGAATAGTTTATTTAGATTATTTTATGTGAATGGCATTTTTTGTTTGTACCATTACCTTTTCTTCATAGACATGTTTCTTACCTTCAAAAACATGCGTTGTAAAATTTAACAAAAAGGGATTTTTAATGTTGAATAATAAAGTAAAAAGTGTTATTATAAACATGGCTTCATCCCTTGTGAAAGTACATAATTGTGTATGACCTAGCAGCTTGTTTTGATGTACGGCATTGTTGGGACGGTCATGAAGGCAAACATCAAAACTCGTGAAGATTTTAAAAGATTTTTGTTGCATCTTTATGAGGTATATTGATCGGTATTCCAGAATCTAATTGTTGCCCATTTTCTAGAATAATTGAAAAATAATTCATTAATCATATTCTTCATTAATCGTTCTGCTACTTTTCATGATGCATACAGTCTGAACGGGCTCTTACGGCAATGTGCTACCCTCTCATGGCGGATGCAAAATCTCTAGAGACCATTCCAAGTCTTCACTCAATAATCTAGCTAGTATAATCCTGTTATTATTAAGGCCCACCAGCAGCCATTTCATAGTCTCACAAAGCTACATCTTATCCTATACTTTCCCCCTTCTTCAATTCTTGCAACATTGTGATTTTTGCACTATTCACAGACCTTACTTTGATCACGATTTTCTACTAATATACATAATTAAATTATTATGTATAAAATGTATGTTATTGAATTGCTATCAATGTGAATTACCAAAATATCAACTTTTTCTAATGTTTACTAATACATAATTAAATATAATTGCAGTTAAAGTTGTGCGTTGGCAAACGTGAAAGTCAAACTGTTGCAAAAATTAAAAAACAGAGGAAAGTACTAGTAATACTTATTAGTAAGTACGGACAGAGTGATGGTGTTTTTGTTTTGTTAGTTTGGATATTCAGCCTATGATCATTTGAGACTTAAATTTGTTCTGTATTATATTCCCTATATAAAGATCTTTTCTTCTAGACTTTTTGAAGTGGAGGCATAACTTCTATTCTAGAGGATGGTTCTAAAACTCGGAAAAATCAGCTGCCTAGGCGCCGAAAACTCGCTAGGTGGTAAGTTGCCGTGGAGATTTTATGGTTTTCAGTCCTAAAGTCGCTCAGCCGATTCATCGGCCGCCCATCCCAATTTATCGCCGATTAGTCGTGAGCCTAAGGTAATAGATTAGTCGGTCCAGACATCTACCTCTATTTAAGCTGATAGGGTCGGGTTGATTGCATGCAGTTGGTCAAAGCAGTTGGTTGGAGCTATTAAATGCATTGCTTCCATGAGTCCATCTACTGAAATGTAAACAAGGTGCTACGTATATTACATTGGGGATTGGGGATTGGTGAACTGACATATTATATTCAATATAGGTAAAAAATCCTTTCGAGTAAAAGGTTATTTTATTTGATGTCAAAAAAAGCAAGGTTGTATTTAATGCAAAGTGTTCATACAGTATCTTCACCAAACCAGCAAATGAAGCATTAAATTCGGGTTTGACTGTGCTCCTATTATAGTTCACAAATTCAAATCACTTTAAAGGTAGTTGGGAGTTTTTCGGAAATAGGAAACCAGATTTTGAACAGATACAGCATATTGTCCAATGGATAAATTATACATATACACAGTAGTAAACTAAGACAAAGCCCATCCAATATAAATATGCTTTACAAGTGAAATTCCACACAATCACAAGCTACATGGGTCCTTCCGGGAGAGTTGAGTGATTAGAGATGGCAGCCACATTTTAAGGAACTGAAGCTCGAAACTTCTCCACCATGCCTACGAGGTAGGCAGATCCTTTTGTTACTATAAAGGTTGTAAAATGTTAAAAAAAAATTAAAAAAAAAAAAGCATTTTCCTGTGTTTTTTACATTTATAAGTTTCTATATTCATACTGATTAATCATTACATCTTGATTTTGGCTTTTTATTTCAGAGTGTTGCTATAGCAGCGAACTTGAAATTACTTCAGAAAAGGGAAGTCTGGGTAGCCAAATAAACCAAAGAAGGTAATATTTTGGATTCATAATTTAAAAAATTATTTTACTTTTTTTTTTTACATTTAAATGAAATACCTAATAATAATCGTAAATCCACAATTGGTGGATAGGTTTGAGAATAAATGCTTTTGAAAGCCATGCACCAAACTTAAAGAATCTGAGGGTTCAACATCCCAATAATGTCCAGCACAAGAAATTGGAAATAATGATCAAACACAATGAGTAGCACAGAAATGAAGAACGAAGACGAATCGATGGATGGAAAAATATCTATTTTGGTTTTGTTAAAACTTAACCTAATTCTAACATTTAAAAACTTCGACTTTTGTGTTTGAAATTCTGAACTTGAAGCACCTGGATTTGTTTCTTTTGACCCTGGATTACTCTGTAATCGTGTATCTACTTTATGTTTATTTCAGGATTGCAGTCAAAATATGATATAGAGCAGGAATGTAAACCAGCACAACTAATTATGTCACTTGAGCAAAATCAAACAAATAAGGAGCATTCTAACTCATTCGCAGATGGCCAGATAGAGCTCAACATTCCTTTAATGTTAAAGGAAGAAAATTTTACATTTTGTAAAGTTATTATTCCTGTTATTGTATTCAATTCATTATTTTAATAACATAAGTACTCTCTACCTACCCACATCTAATCAATAAATAATACGTAGTATATGAACAAATATTGTTTCAAACACCTGTTTATTCTCTTATTTGTTAGATTATACAGATTTAAGCAAATAATAAGTAAGCAATTGAAACTTTTACACTACGGTAACACACACACACAAACTATCAAAAAATTTGAACAATAATAAACGTGTGAATGTTTAGATTTTTAGAAAATATTTTTAAGTGAATTAAATACAGAGTATAACATAGCAGTAACAAGGTGGTACTTTTTATCTACTCTAATTAACTACCGAAAAATTAAAAAAATGAATATACGAATTGGAAAAAATATCAATCAAATAAAAGTATATGTAGTGTTCCGTACATCTTAGTCCTATATCTACACTTACTCTATTGGTCATGATTTATAACTTTAGGCACTAACAAACTAAATACTTTTTAATTTGATTTTATTTAATTAAATTTAGTTTAATTTAGTGTAAAAAGTAAATCTTAGTGAAATAGATTTACAAATTTTGAAAGCCCTTTCCAAAATTGGTTTACGGTGCCCACTCATACCAATTTAAACAAATTTTTTGTAACAAAACCACATGCGATTAAACAAATTTGTAAATCATACCATAAATCGTATAAGAAATGTTATCAATCAGATGCAAATTCATTACTTAGACCGAGGACGAAGATAATATATACCCATCAACTTTCATGTGGCCGATTTAACCGCTGCGGCCGTTGTTTGAGCCCGTTCACAAACGATGTAAGATTTGGATGATGAATACCAAGGGAGAAGCTATGTATGGATGAACGTATCAACATGAAAGGATGGAGAAAGGACGGAGTTTCTACAACAAAGGGAGAACGCATCGGCTTAACGCATCGGGAAAGGATGGATACAAGAGCAGCGTAGGGAGAGTAGGGTTTGTTTTGTTGGATATTAAATGGGCAATGATAAACGGGTTACGTGGGCTGGGCTGTATTTTGGACTTTTTTCAAGTGGACTTCTTTTATTCTAAAATAAAAACGTTGATATGAAAATATAAATGTGTTGTGCAATTCTTGAATTCTTAACTATGTCGGCAAAATGTAGGTATTTTAACAAAATGTTTTTAAAAAAGTAATTTAGTATTGAACAGAACAAAACGTATCATAATTTGTGAAAAGGCATGATATTATAATATTTTATATATTTATATTTATATATTTTACACGTTTTATATATTTATATTCTGATATTTTACATGTATATATTATACACTTTAAATTTTTTATGATTTCATATTTTATACGGAGTATAATTTAAATTTAAATTGTTATGCTTTTGATTATTTCTTAAATGTGTGTTGGTATTGTACAATATAATTTTATTTATCTTTCTTATATTATTGTAAATCACAGGAGTAAAAATATTACATTATTCAAATAAATTTTGTACCGTGCATCGCACGGGTGAGAATCTAGTTTCAAGAAAAAAGCGTATTTTTCTTTACCTGCCAGTAGGCATGGCCTCGGGCCGGGCCGGGTCCGGGTCGAGCCTAGGCCCGGGCGGGCCGGCGGTTCAGAATTGGTGGACCCGGGACCGGCCCGGGTAGCCACCGGGTCCGAGCCGGGCCTCCGTTTTTTTTTTTTTTTTGCTTTCCTACCCCCCCCCCCCCCTCACCCCCACCCCCCCCAAACCATCAAGTCCAACCCGGGTGGAACCCCAAAAAATGAAAAAAAAAATCTCAATTTGGCCCGGACCTGGGCCTGACCCGGCCGGGCCGGTTCGCCAAATGTAAGACCCGAGCCAGGACCCCCCCGGGCCTAGGCCCGACCCGGACCCGAGAATCGGGTCAGTCCCACACAGTAGCGGGCCGGGCCGGTCCACCGGCTGGGTGGCCCGACCAGAATCCACCCCTACCTGCCAGTTGATAGAGTACGAGTGTACGACCCTTTCTCCTCTTTGCCCAGTCCAGTTAGACCTAATAGAGTATATGACCTTTCAGTTTTTCTTCTCTTTGATGGAACGACAACCATAGCTGACGGATTCCGTTCTTCGTTAATCCAGCGTCTCCAATCTTCTGTGTCTAGCAGTCCAGGACTCTAGCCTCTTGGTAAAGATATTTTCAAAATGTATTGCTATAGTTACTTTGTTATTATGATAGTTCTTGAGGAGTTATTTATGTTTTTCTTTTTGAAGGCCTAGCAATTACAATTCTCTTAATACAAGTGATAGAGTTGTATTTTTATTATTTATTACTTCTATTTTAACTAGTTTTATTTGTTGTTGTTTGGAAAATTACACACTTTTGGTGTAATTAGTTTATTTTCCTATATAAATGTAATTTGTTTAGATTAGGATTATTCTGAGCTTAAAACAGGTCAAGATCATCCAAAGGATCAAGATTGGACCCCAAAAGTCCAAGGAAAGTGCAAGGGGACAAGATAAAAAGAAGATTGAGAAAATATTTCATATACCCGGTCGGGTATAGGCAATACCCGATCGGGTATTGAGTTGATTCGGGTGTCAAAATCAGAATCTGGAGAGATCTGGAGAGACAAAAAAACGTGCAGGATTTTGAAGATTTGGCTCATACCCGATCGGGTATGCCTTCATACCCGATAGGATGTCTAGAAAAGTGATTTTCCGGGAAACTGCCTAAAATACCCGATCGAGTACCCTATATACCCGGTCGGGTACACCACCCTGCTACCTCAAAACACCTATAAATACACCCCTTTTCCTTCACAATAAGATCACTCCTTCTTCCATACTCTTAAGCTCAGTTTAGAATAGTATTTCTTTTATATTTTTATAGCATGTTTAGTCTCCAAATGAGGAGCTAAACTTCCATTTCTTGGTATTGCTCTTGAAGCTTGTTGATTATTAAAGTTGTGAGTTATTTTCTTAACTTCTTTTCCTTGAATATTAATTCTTCCTTTAAATACTATTTCTATATCAATGTTGGGGAGTGTTACTAAGATGACAATTAGTTAACATCTTGACATTGGTTTTAGTAATAGCTATTCCTTCCTCTATGTTAATATCGGGGAGTGTTACTAAGATGACAATTAGTTAACATCTTGATATTAACTA